TTTATTTATTATTATTTTATTTATATTAATAAAGCATATGGGCATTACATGGATTGGCTGTTAATAAACTGTATTCCTTAATGTGTCTTATCCATCCTTTCTACGCTTCTTTTAACCCATGGTTAAATCCAACCCATGTTGTTCTCCTTCTATTTAAAATTGTTGTAAAGAAACGTCAGCTCTGTTCTGGTTAGATGAATAATCTGCATGCAAAGTATGCAAGTCTTAATTATTTAAGAAACTTTAACTGTATGTATCCTTAAATCCCAGTGTTTCCAAGCAGCATTCAGTAGTTCCAAGCCAGATATTTGAACTGGAGGATGGCACGAGTAGTTACAAGGATTTTGCAATGAGTAAGAATAATCGCTTCACCAGTGCTGGCCAAGCATCTAAGAACATCATCCAACCACCTTCTTGTGTGCTGCATTATTATAATGTTCCCCTGTGTGTAACTGAGGAAACGTTTGTAAAGGTAGGCAGTTGAAATGACTGTGACATACTGTGCTTTGGGGCTCTAGCCTACCTTTATGCTGTGCTACTTTTAAAAAGAAATAACTGGCATAGTTACAGTGTAGCAACTGGAAGAGAACTGATTTTTAAAATTAGTTTGTAGCCCGCTCTATGTAGAAGCTGCTATATTTTTGAAATTCTGGAGTTATTCTCTCCATTTATTTTATTTATTTTTTTTTTACATGTGAAACAATATCTTGGAAATAAAGTTGAGCTTAATGTGTTGAGTGTTTTGGTTTAGTTTGTTGTGGGTTTTTGGAGGAAGAGGAAAAGAGTCACACAAAGCCAAATACAGGGAAATTTAAGACTACAATTTGCAAAAGATTTACAGGCTATGTGTTACTCTAATGACTGCTAGGATGTTTCAGAATGGAGAGAAGCATGCACCTGCAAAAGTGTGCACAGTTGAGTCTTAAGTAAACTCTGGATGCTTAAAACATACTATATTGGGCCTCTCAGGTGGAGGCAGTGGTAAAACGTGACTGTTCAGTGAGTTCTTTTTCAGTTCAATAAAACTAGTTGTTTGGTGGTGGTTTTTTTTTTTCAAGCTCTGTCTGAAAGTTAACTCTGGTTCATGAGTGTGCTTGCATGTACAACTTCTGAGCTACTGTATTGAAGTGGGAATGTCAAAAAGAAGGCCTTGTTTATTTAAATATGTTGTTGGAGGTAGTAGTGATATCAGTACTCTTAACAATATTTGTTCCTATAAAATCATATTTATCATGGGAAAGCACAGATATAGGAGCCTTGTTTTGCATACTATAGAATGGCATTCTAAGGAATTAGCAATCTAAATATATTTTTAAAATAATAATTTGCCATAAATTCTTGGAAGCTTTCTTAAAGAATCAGTATTTTCCTTTTTGTGTGTCTCTTCCAGGAACTTGGAATTTTTGCTAGTGTGTTTATGTACATTTTTACTGGAATTTTACCTCTAATTTTATTTTTGTGACAGCTATGCGAGGATCATGAAGTTCTCAGCTTTATTAAATACAAAGTGTTTGATCCAAAACGTAAGTAAACTTTGACCTGTTTGGGAGTTATTTGAATTCCAGTTTTGATAAGAATATACACCGTCCAGAGACATTACTGATCTCCTCCTTTCCTTTTTTATTTCTCATTTTGACAGCTTCTGCCAAAACACTGTCTGGTCTTTTGGAATGGGAATGTAAGACAGATGCAGTGGAAGCTCTCACTGTACTTAATCACTACCAGATAAGAGTCCCAAGTAAGTCAGTTTTACTGATCCTACTGCTATAAATTTTGTTCTTGTTTTCTTGCTTCAGCAGCTCAGTCTGCAGCTAAAAACTATGGTGTTCTTATTATATGTATATATGCTGTATTTTTTTAATATATATATACATATACTGTGTATACTACAGTATACAAATACTATATAACAGTATTAAATCTCTACTTTAAGTTCTATTAGTTTCAATCTAAATAGATTTGGGGTAAAAAGAAGGCAGGCAGGAAAACCATTAAAATCCACTGTCGTCAAAATTAAACCTAACAGGTAATATTTTACTGAAGCTTTTTATATCTTTCACAATAAATGCGGAGAAATCTACAATATCTCTGAGCAGAAGATTTTTAAAGTTACACAGCTTACTGCTCTGAATTAACTGCCTCTGAATTAACTGCTACTGTATTGGGTTCTCTTTCAAATCAGAAATTGTGAGGCCAAGCTGAGTTTAGCTCCAAACTAGTGAGAATGGAGGGGGAGTTCACCTGCTAAACAAGTACACAATGGGCCAGATCTGCACTGGACAGTTGAGATCGTTTACTGGATTAAATGAAATTATTCAGGGTGTTCACAGACATAACTTTGAATCCAGCCCAGTGTCTAACTACTATGAATTTATCTCCCTGTCAAGTGTTAATAGTTTAAATCTTTCCCATCCTTCCTCCCCCCCACCCCTTTTGTCCACCTTCTAAATAATGGACTGAGATTAGTTCAGAGGCAGACTACTTTTTAAAATACTGTTGATAACTTACTGTTCACAATTTCATATTTATCTCAGTTTGGAGAGGTGATAATAGCAGAACTCCTCACTCTTTCAACATGAAAAAGGCAAACCCTAATGTATAATCAAATACAGCTATCACAGGAAAAGGCAGTATTTTAAAATAAGGACTGCTAGTTAAGACTTACCGTAATAAGATTGTCTGAGGTTGGCTGAACCAGGAGAACATGTCTTCCATGACCTGAGAGGCAAATGTGTGCTGCCATCCGTGGGTCTTGGCAGCCTTTCCAGATAGAAGGGGGTTCTTTCATGCTTTGATTTCTGGAGAGGCCCGAAGGGTGTGCTGGATATCCTGCTCTTCTTTTGTCAAATACATGTAAACGCTGTCCAGTGCCACTCTGTCTCTGATAGAAATGCCACATTCTAAGTCTTCACTTCCTTAAAAATCTGTGCCTTTTGTCTTTGAAATTCCCTGTTAAATGTTACTTCTATAAATAGTTCAGCTAGGAAGACAGGCAGCAATAATGGTAAAGTCTTTCTCGTGTATAGTACAACATTTAGAATTCTATCTTGCGACCAGATCCATCACTTTGTTTTTATGTCTAAAAAATGCTGGTCGGCTATCAATAACACCTACGTACAGGTTATCTGGTGTCTGCAGAGCATTGGCAGGGGGAGCAGGGAGGTGTAAGCATTAATTCTACAGAATTGGTAAACTTGCCAGATTATGCAAGGTGATCTTGGTCAGCAGGAGAGCTATGCTCAGTAAAACGCCCTGAGTATGTTGTATGTTGTCTCCTGACAGATGGCTCCAACCCTTATACCTTGAAGCTTTGCTTCTCTACTTCATCCCATTTATAGAGAAGAGGACAGCATGCTAAGAGCTACGTTCATCTTGATTTGCAAGTTTAAAAACTACACTTCGTTCACAAAGCTCTAAAGTGGTTGTTCTAATGTTGCCTTGTTTCAACTTAATTCTAATATCTTTTATCTTGTTTTATAATAAATGGATGTTCCTTCATAAATACAAAAGATTTTTTCTTTTTGCCTCTGAGAAGTACGTGTTGTAAGCTTACTACAAAGTTTGTATTTTGTTAGTGTGGTATCTTCAAATGTCTAAAGAAGCACCAGTAGTACAAACAAGATTGTTTTCTTCCAAAAAATGAAATATATTTGCATTTTCGATAATGTTAAAGATTAGCAAGTATTTTTCCATTTGTAGTCTTAATTGGCAGATAGAACTATTACATCAGAATTTTAAATGTAGAACTTGTTTTTCAGTATGTTGCAATACTAAAAAGCTTGTATTTATAAAATGCTTTAATCAGGTTAATGTTGCACATAGCGAATTTTTAGTAGTATAGACTTACTTTATTTATAGTTCAAACAAAGCTAACATAGAAAATTATTAAGGATGTACACGTGTATGGTGTGAATTCATACTTTATTTAAAGTGGTTTTGTTTTTTTTAAAAAACTATTTTCCATTTGCATTAGCATGATGCCATCTATAGCTACTTCCACTGTAGGGGCCTTTTAAAAATTAAAATCGCAAGCCTGTATCAATGTGTTCATCCTCATTTTCCATAATTTAAACTTAAATCTTTGGTGTTTAACACCAAAATCTTTGGTGTTTGACTTTTTTTTTAAAAAAAAGTGGTTTTGACATACTAAATGGTAAAAATTGGATATGTGAGAAGATTGATTGCAATAGAAACCAAGGTGGTAAAAATAGTTAAAACAAAAAGCAAGCCCTACCATTCTCTGTCATACCTGCACAGTTAATTTGATGTTTTCTTTTTGTCTGATTTATCCTATACATCTGTTACGACCATGAAAGAATTCATAGGGTGAATAAACTTGGCTAGCCTCCCACTTAAACTGAGGTAATCTAGGTGGGATTCAGATAATGTAACTAATTACATGATATGAAATTAATGAGGTGAGAAATACTTCACTTTGGGGAAGATGATTTGTTTTGTCCTAGTCCTTTGAAACCCCTGTTTTCTCTTCTAGAACTGGAGTTGTGTCTGTCTTGGGCTAAAATCCCAGAAAAGGGAATCCAAGCAGGGAAGTCTGGGAGCTGTTGTCCTAGGTTCCGTGTTTATTCCCCTTTCTCAATTTGGAGCAAAATGCTTAGGGCTTCTTTTAGTTCTGCTCTTGGTGATCAGAGAGAAGCTATTTTATCAGATATTTTGTTTTATTATACAAAAGCTCTTTGTCTTTATGGATTTTGTCCATATCCATCCTTTCTGCAAAATTATTTGTGCAGTGTACTTGCCCTTGAGAAACTTATGTTGCAGTATGTTTACAGACTGTGGGTATTGCACATGTCTTTAAATACAGACTGGATTTTGCCTATTCTTAATTTTGAGGCAAATATACCTTATCACACAAGGGAAAATGTCTCAGCAGTCCTTCAAGTGTTTTCATTGACAACGATTCATTTTTGCCCTGTCTACCTCCATTTTGTTCATACATCAGGTAATGACTATTTCAGGTATTCAAATCAGGCCTCTAATATGTCTGAAGGACAGCTGCTCTTTGGCAGCTCTTTCTGCGTAGGGTTTGGAATAATACTAGCCTCCTGCCTGGTAGGTGGCAAACTGACTTGGGTTTTAGGGGCACTGCTAATACTCTTTCAGCCTCAGTGCTTTTCCCCCAGAAACTGCTTCCAGAGAGCTCCAGCATAGAGGGCTGTGTGCCCTACCTTGCTACTTGCCAACAGAAATGCTGGGTACTAGTGAAATGTTCTGTGCTGCCTAGTGTTAACTGTAAAAGGTCTCTTCCCAGTCATTCATTTCTCTTCCATCAACTTGAATGTTCTGTGGAAACGTGTTTGTTCTGTTATAACTTGCATCGCTATTTGTATTAATGAAGTTTCAGAATGCAAGTTATTTGTAGCTGAGCATTATAGTATGTTAAGGCTATCTGTTGGTCCAGTTCGGGATGTAGGATGAGTGACCCTTAGAACATTCAGGTTTTGTTGTTTTGTTGTTTTTTTTTTTTAAAAAAAAGCACTTTAATGTTTCAGTGTCCTCAGTGGATCACAGCATTCAGTGCCTAAGATGTTCAGGTGAAAGTGTCTTTCCTGTGGCTGCCCAGATCAAACAGAGGATGGACTAGTTCCAGGTGTATCTGAGAGGACTTCATACCAGCTGGAAGTCCCTATATGCAAAAAGAATAGCCTGTGCCACATGGGGAAGAAAAGAGAGGAGACTGAAAAATTGTTCAAGCTTCTTTCTCCTTAAAATAATCATCTTATTTACGTAGAAATTGAGAACAGGAAAGATTCCTTGTTAGCGTTTTGCTCTAAAAAGAAAAGAATGTCTTCTCTTGGGCCTACAAGGATGGATGCTTGTCCTCAGGGAGGAATGAGGTTGGCCTCCTCCTTCCACAAACAAGGTCTATGTTCACCTATAATCTTGCTCTTTAGAATAGAGCCAAAACAGTGGGGCAGGTGCAGAGTTAGTTGCTCCAAGTGGAGTGAAGTTTGTCTGTCATTTGGCAGCAGTATTACTATACTTGTTAGATTAACATTAAACCATTAAGGTCTCTCAATGCAGTTTTTTCTGTCCCTTTTGCATAAGCCATACAAGCAAAATAGTGAACATTGCTATGCACATTCCCTGCTTGTAAGCAGCTGACATTCACACTAATATCTTCATGTCTGTTCCACTGTTTGTTGGGTGTTTTTATTATTTTTTTCTAATTGATCACCTTTTATTGGAGGTAAATGATATATTGCAGTGGAGATCTGCTCATCTTCTCTCACAATACTCTAATCATCATTTATATTTATTTTTTCCTTACATGCAGGAAGTGGGAATAGTTGCTTTTTGACTTTCTATACCACCACAGCAAGATAGAGTGTATCGCTAGGGTGATATAAGAAAAGATTTAAAAGAAACCATTCAGGAAGTGTTTGGGTGTCCTGCTTTATGAAAGGAATGATAAAACTTAATGTGGTGTCACTAAGTCTGTCTTTTAGTAAGGGACAAATAATGTTTGGGGTAGGCTGGCTTGTAACTGGCTGAAAGCCTCTTTGTTGTAATTAAATGCAACTTGCTCCTTTTCTTGCTGTGTGTTTTCTTGTGAACAGTGCTTGAACTTGTCTGAATATGATGATGGCTTAGCAGGAGACATTCAGTCTCTTCTGTTAAATAATACATTGAAGTCTGGGAACATGAACACACTCAAATTTTTTTTTTTTCCCCACTTCTGGGATGTGTTTAAACATATTTGGGATTTTTTTCTGTGTGTGTTTCCTCTTTTTGAAAATACCTTGTATTTGCACATCTGTAGGTACTAGTGGGTTTTTGTAGCCATTCCAGGTTTTTATGTCTACCCAGTCTATTGGTTTGGTCCCTTCTGGCAATTACAGAGGTGGTAATAATCTCAAAAGTAATCGTTTGTATTGGCATGGCTTTGGCCAGAAATTGTGTGCAAGAAGGCATGGGAAAATAAAACAGTAGTTATGGGCTCAGCTTCCTGTGAAGAGTTCTTAAAGCACAAAATACCATTGTTCTGATGTTGACCTTAAACTTGATGCAGCTGTGCCACAGTTGAGAGCCTCCCACCTTCACATATATGGGGTATAAAAGGTAACTTAAGAGTCCTGCTGTAAAACTTGCCTTGCAGTAGTTGCATCTATCAGTTTGCATGTTTGATGCTATGACCAAGCAATGTTCTGGCATGTTGTCACAGAAAAGCTGATAGTGCCACCTGGCAAAAATGTGTCAGCATTAAGGAAACAAACCTTGTTGATTTGGGTCCCCTGGTACCAACAGTCCCAAAGAAAGGGAAAAGTGTAAAGGGAAACACAGTCTCGTGCTCCACCAAGTGTTTCCCATGTGTTGGTTAGCTGCTGATACTGTGGTGCTGTCCTGCGTCATAGGCTGTGTTGCTCTAAGAAAGGCCTTGCTGAATAACTGCACGAGAGGAGTATGTTGTGTGACCTGATTTGTGAAATTCAAGAGTGAATGGAGAATCCTATCTCAGCAAGGGACAAGCAATGCTGAAAGACCTCTGGAAGGCAGGCACTAAGGAACAACGGGTGAGCACAGGTCACTGGACCTGCACTTCTCTCCCGCTCTGTGCGGCTGGCAAGAGTGAGAGGTGGACGTTAAACTGCAGCTGGATGAAGTGGTCTGATATGCAGGATCTCACCTAAGGTCATCCTATCTGAGAAGTGAGGTGTTTCCCACTTCCTTAATTTCTTATAGCTTGTGCTATTTTTGTTCTTAATTGTTAAGACCACATGTTTTAAATTAATCTAGGCTCTTCCCAGCCTACCTTTGTTTCCGTAAGGAATGGTCTGGGAGCGGACTGGAACGTGAAAAATGTTAATAGTTCTCACCAGGGAAGTCTGAATTGAGAAATACTTGGCATCATTCTTCATCTGTAAAACAAGGAATTTCCTTTTTTTTTCTCACCTGTTAAACCTTATGCATGCTAAGTGAGTTGTAAGACAATATCTTCTCAGTTGCACCATTAAAATGGACACTTGAGGAGTGATCAAGTGTGCTCAGGTGCTATACAATGCCATTTGGGTTCCTTACAAAAGCTGGCAGGGGCATAGTCTGAATGAAAATAAGCTGAAACAAATAGCTGTTCAGGGTTTGGGATGATGAGGCTCCCAAGTTCTTCTGCTAAAGCATCTCATTTGATAAAGGGTGAAGAGCTTCCATTTCTAGACAGTTGTATCATCAATTAAAAGAATAAAATATTTGTGTTCAGTTAAGTCTCTTAATGCCTAATAGTCTTTCCCTGTTAAAAATATTTTTTTTTTCTCCAAGGATTGTAATTCCCACAGGATGTGGAGGAACCTAATGCAGCCAGATTACTTGTGCTGTGTTTTGGCCACGTCCCTGTAAAGGAAATAACCTCAGTCCCTTTTCTTGTGTTAAAAAAGCTTTGGTATCTGTCCTGTGCCAAGCCTTCCTGTTATGGCCTTTCACAGCCAGCTCCCTGGGCTAGAGCCACGCATTAATTCAGATAGGTTCTCTGCTCCTCTTCTTGACTGTTGCAGCTGCTGATGCAAAGTCTTAATTTCTGGCATAATTTATTTAACTTTTTCCTTCTCTGGTGTTTATGGAGCAGCTGCAGACTGAGTGGGTCTTCATGCAAAGGAATGAGTAGTCCTGCAGG